GGTTTAATGTGTTCAAACCAATTTTCCACTAGCTAAATACTCACGGCTAAGAATCGCAGTCATTACTAGGAATGATGGACAAGTTTGGTAGCAGACCTAAATTTATCAGGTTGAGCAGAAGAGGTGGAGAGGGGTAGGAGAGCATGAGTTATGCTCAGTTGCTTTGGGGGTCTAGCAAGGGGGAAGCCTTTCAGCAGAACACCATGGGGAAGCAGCCACCACTGATGCTGTGTCACCTAGTCTGGCATCTTTTATAAGTAATTAAATCACACTGTATGCATATTTGGATAAATAATAATGACATTCATATATATATACAAATACATAGCACACTGGCATAGAAATATGCGTGAATATCCAGCACAGGAAGTCACACACAGTATTGAATTTGTCGCTGATTTCTCAGTAACAAAGTGAAGAATGCTCCCTAGGGACGGATGACAAACAAGGAACATTGTTTTCCTACGTATCCCATCCAGCTGTTAGGCTTTGGAAAGTGCTTTTTTTAGCAGATCAGTGCTTCAGGAGGAACAGCCAGGGCATTAATTTTGTTCGGTTCCAATAGACAAAAAACAAATACTTCATGAAGCATATATACCCATGAATTAATACTATTTTGACCTATTAGATCTTCTGCTTAAATTACATACTTCTCGTGATCAGCTGGCCAATGTTAACCTCGTTCTGCAGTTAGGCAATGCCAAGGTATCACATGTGTCTGGCAGCTTTTGTGCCTGTTTCACAACAGCCTTCAGTTAATCGCTTGTCTACACAATTGATAGGCTGTTACTATCTCAGGCGATCAAAATCCCTGCAGCCTGCCCTTGATCAAGTTAATATTTGAAAATAGCAATGTGGTATTTTATTAGATCCATTGATCTTTTCAATTACATTAAACATCTTTCTGAGGGAGGAGATTTATTTAGATTATTTGGAAAGGGAGGAGAGTGTTGGTTTTTTCTGCAGGTGTCCTCTATTCTTTTACCAGACTTGCTGTGTTTGGGGAAAAGGTTTCTTTCGTAACCGTAATGTAGAAAACCTAAGAGAACGTTGACATTGGGCAACAAAGTTAATAATTGACAAATGTGTGTCACTTGCCTTGATGAATGAGTCCACACCATAACACTGCCAGTTAGTGTAACTTACTCGGCTCCTCTCACACTTTTCTGGAAAGAGCAATGGTAAGCCAAACTTTGTGTATGTCTTCTGAGCAAAGGTAGGAAGTATTCATTAGAATGACTGAATAAATAATTGAAATATATATTTATACTTTTAATCATTAGAGTTACGTTTGGAAAATTTGCATAAATCAGCTTTTCCCTTCAAAATGTGTACTTTTAGTTTGCTTGTGTTTAGGCTTGGTACCTATTGTCAAACATTTAGTTGTCCAGTATATCTTGGCTCCTCTTAGTTGCCCTGTCATTGAGATACAGAGCAATTGTGGCAGGAATGTCATGAAGAGGCAATGCGGTATCGTGCCCTCAGAACATTCCGATTCCAAAGTGAGGTCTGTTTTATTTCCAAATGGCAGGTGTTCATGGAAATAAACGAATAAATGTTGTTAGCTCTTTCAGCTGGTGTTATTTGAGCTTTAATTCCTCCTCTTTAAACATGCTGAGGAGAATGGACTCCTCACTGAATATTTTTAAAAAATTCTACGTGGTGAAACTGGAAGTTGTAGTGAGCTGAGCGGCACCTTGGAGATAAAGATTTACACCCAGGAGCTTCTGGCTCCATAATCAGTGGGATCACTACTTCATGCCTTTTTTCTACATACAAGTATTAAAAAAGCATCAAATCTAATGGCTTCATTTTTTCAGTCCTACTAGATGACCTTTCCAAAATGCTCAGCTTTCATTTTAAGTTGAAATAAGTGTCCAGATTTTAGAAGATCCCAATTTTCTTAAAAAAATCTGTTGAACTGTGAACTGATGGGTTTGGACAGCTTCAGAACTGGGCTCCTAATCGGTGTTCTTTTGAAAATTTGACCCCTAAAGCAGGCAGCTCCTGGGATGCTCATTGAAAAAAGAATATAAACATATGGACCTGATTTTAGAAAAATAAAGACATATTTTAAAAGAAACATCTAAACTTTTCTGGTCTTTACCGCCCTGCAGGCATAAAATTCAACACGAAGCTCTGTATATCATCCATTATAGCCTATAAGTAAGTCTCACTGTAAGTCTCCAAAGCCACTTGTATCATTGAAGAACATTTCCATCACACTGCAATCTATTTACTATCTTCCTGCCCATTTATTCAACGTGAATGTTTCATTTTCTATCAGGGTTCTTCATTTTCCATCACTTTTTGGCAGTCACCTAATTCAAGGGCATGGCCTGGTGAAAGCTGACCGGACATACGGGTTGAATCTCTTTGGTCCATGCTACTGTTTTTGGCAGTCACCTAATTCAAGGGCACGGCCTGGTGAAAGCTGACCGGGCATGAGTCTCTTTGGTCCATGCTACTCCACCAACATTTCTTACATGGATGAAGGCTACCCCTGCTGAAAACGGTTTAAGAGGTGACCATGGCTAGTCCCTAAAATTGATGAGCACTGCTCAGTGGCTTGATTCAGGCCTGGGATTTTCCAAGGCAGCAAGATCATAATACACTGCTATGAAACAGTGACTTTTATGGGCACCCTCAGAAGTTGCCAGCCTAGACTATTAACAGGATTGAAATTTAAATTGTGTTGTTTCTACATTTACATGTAGAGCATTCCCTAGGACGTGTATTAAAGGAACACCCCCAAAAATCTGTTATTTTAGGCAGAGGTTGCGCAAAATTTTATTTTGTTGGGGGTCTCCAGCACCATTAAAGCTTGCAGCCATGTGACAAAGTACTAACTACCTTAATTGCTACTTCAATCTCTAATTCATTTTGGTAGTTCAAATGTTCAATGGCTGGATCAAGATTTTGGAAGGGTGAATTTATTCTGACAGACTTTCAGCTATGTCCAATATTCTTTCTATCTGATTCAGCTTGTCTGCCCCTTAGAACCAGCATAAAACTAACCTGAACACCATTTAGAGAGCTTGGGCTAAATAAATCAGAAATATGTACATAGCCCAGTAAAATAAATGCAAGGTTTGTCATGTTTTCCCAAGTCTACTTATGCAGGACAAGACTAAGTCACTGTTACCTTTGCACAAGGTGACTCCAAATCTCCCCAAATTGTTTTACTCTTTTTAGAGTGACTTTACCAGGTCAAACTAGGACCATTTAGTCCTCTCTGCAGCAATGGACGCCTAAAGAATACAAAACAGGCAATTACATGATGTTTGCTCCAGCAGAAGCTTCTGTCCTCTAGCTTTATGGTTCAGGAACTTCCTCAATCAGAGCTGCTACCTTTGCATTTAATGGTACTTAATGCCCTGCATACATTGAATTCACAGCAATTTCTAGCATCCATAACAAATACATCCACTGCTTAAATACATTTCCAATAGTTTGTGAATGCTGTTTGGTTGTTGTACTAGTAGAGACAGAAAACAACTGATCCTAGAGAGCCTTTTTGATCCTCTCCATTATCTTTTAAAGACCTTCACGATTTCTGTCATTTCTTTTCCACTTGAAGAATGCTATTTTACCTAGTGACTCCTTGTACAGAAGCTGCGGATTAGTTCATGTCGATATCATGAAGATTTAGTTAACAGAAGCAGTATACTAATATAGCAGTGGTCCAGATTCTACTGAATTTTGCACAAAAAAAAACCCCCAGATCTAACGAGGCCATGGAAAGTAGCTTGGAGGCTCCTCAAGGTGCTACCTTGACCTCTCCCTACTTAAGCAGACAAGGAACAGGTAACAAAATCAGGCAGGTAAAGGAGGGACTCCCCAGGGTTCAAACTGATTTCTTAGCTCTTTTGCCTAATGCCTTTATAATATGTGAAAGCTATTTTATTTTCTCAGGTGAAATACTGAAGAAAAGAGAAACGGCCTCCTAAGCAAACCTACCTAGTTTATAAACTAATGTGACATCATCTGAAATATGTCTATACAAAAAAAAAAAGTTGTTCTAACTATAAATATATTCTTTTTCAAATGTTTTATGCTTTTTCAGTACTTTTCAGATTTTTCTAAAATTGCTTAACTTTTATAAATAATTTATCATGTGTAGCATTGCCAGGAGTACGATACTTATCAATAAAAACAATCTGCACTAACTGATTAGCTATTAAGAAAATCTTAGAGCTGGCAGTGTCTCAAATGACCTAAAGTACACAGCTATGCACACTTCATTACTCTTAATGGAGATTAAACCTCCTAAGCCCTTAGACAACTTTAAAAAACATAATTTAAATGCAAAAGATGTATAAAATGTGTCTGCCCTCGCTGAACTACTCGTTCATCCTCCTGGAGGGCAAACAGGAAGTTTGGTCTACTTAATCCCTTAGGAATGCCCTTCCTTCTCTTCCAAGTGCAATCATTTCTGTGACAATAAAAATGCATCATCATGGCTATAGTCTGATATCCTCTACACCGCATAAATCTTGAGCTGCACCACCACTTTACATCAGCATAAATCCTGAGCAACTCAAAGGCTTCAGGGTCTGGCCCTTGTTTGCCTGTAGCAGAGCCCTGAGAGAAACACCGTGACTACAGCCAGCAGTAACAGCCCTTCCAGTGATTGGTGCGCCCGTGGTTTTGCTCAGTCTGATAAATGCCTACCAAAGGCCAAATAAAAGCCTGCAGCTCTGGATACAAATAAGATTCTATTTTATTATTATTATAAATGTATAATTGGGAATGAAAAAGCCATTTATCCATGCTACCAGTACTCCTTTCTGTTTTTCCAGTCGCTTTCAACTAACTTTATTACTATAAACCTAGTGTCAGCCTAGCTTTGTCTTTTTAAAAGAAGTAGTTGTACCTTATGGATGGGAAGAAAGAATATCTCTGGCCACCAGCACTTTGCAAAGTGACTCTGAGGGACACTGCAAGAAACCCCAGACCGGTCTGTACTGTTTTCCCAGAGCCCATATTGGGCTCTGTAACAACTTTTGCTGGAACTTCTGCAAAAAACTCTGTGGCGCCTCCTTCTGCAAGAAACCCAGGTGAACTCACGTGCACATGGATGAGCCTGGCACTTTGTGCAGCTTCTGTGTGGCTCATCTGCATCCACAGGAGCACTCAGCTGGCTAGTTCTTCATCTAGGCTAGTTCTTGCAAGTCTTTCCTGTCATCTCCTGCAAAAGCAGCTGAGATCTATAGGCAGCTGAAACTGAGGTCAAATCAGACTGAGGTTTACTGTGCAGATTAAATTTGGCCACTCATAACAGGAAGACATTGTCTGGCAATGTCATATTGTGAAAGCTCAAAATTCACCCACCTTGCTTCCTTCAATGAGAGAGGTATCACAAGGAGATGAAGAATACCGCTTAATAGTAAAAAATTTTCTTCATATAATGTATATATGCATCTACACACACATATATACATATGCACGCACATATTCTTTATCTGGCATTATTATTATAGGACTGTTGCCTTGTTCTTTGCTCTCTACGTCACAGAGTCCTATCTTGAACTCAAATGCTTTTTGAGGGCCCAAGTTTTCAGTGTCTCAACAGCAACTTGCAGTCAGCTGACAAGCTTCCAGCCTCCCCGTGTGGCAGCTCACCTCCGTAGCCAGAACTGATGCCATGGAGCAACACAGTCACATCCCATTTTCCAGTTTTCTGAACAGCGCAAACTCTGTTTCTATAGATTTGCTCATGTTAGTCAGCAAAAGATGAGTCATCCAGAAAGAAAGCTATAATCATTTGTTCCTTAGGAATCATATAGTAAATTAATTACTGTACATCACATTCTAATATAAAATACACAAGCAGTTTTGACTAGTTGACCTTGCAGAGGGCAAGGGAGCTTTTCATAATTTCCAACTGTTATGGTCCGGGAATGCTGGGTTTCTCCTAACTGAGTATCTATTACATAATTGGAAACACATTTGGTTCTATTTGTTGAATGAGACAAAGCTAAAGAAATGCATGCTATTACTCTCTCTCTCAAAAAAAAAAAAAAAAAGAAGATACATAATGATCTTATGCAAAATACTGGAACAACACACATCCTTCAGCCTTGCCATTGGCAGGTAGACTACTCCAGATACATTGTAAGCACGCACACTTTGCCTTTCAAAATGTGTTTCAGAGATTGACCAAACTCCTATCTTCATGCTCTAAAACACACTGTTATTTTTAATTACAGACCTTCCTAAGCAAAGCAATGGGGTGTACTTAAGTAAAGGAGACTTTTTGCTACATAGCCTATGATTTTGCTGAGCTAATTATTAGTTACATATCATTCATACTTGGTTTCTGTGAACCTGCTATTCATAGTACATTATTATTAATAAACTGAGTATGTCAAAAAAAATACTAATTTACTAAAGAACCTGTACTGCTGCTCTTCTAGGAATCACTTCAAATTTGGCGACCTTGTAATCACAGTGACTTCAGCTGCCCAATCTGTCTCCAAACAGCTACTTTCCCAGTAGAAACCAACTGTGGACACCTATTCTGTGGTAAGGTTTCCAGATTCAGTACAATGCTCATACTGGCTGCTCAATCTTCTTATAGAGTTCTCAAGTTCTATCGACACAACAGTCCAAGTCTTTGCCCTGGAATTAATGTAAGTTCTTCCACTAGAAACCAGAGAAGTCCTATCTTTAAATCACACACACACAAAAATATTATTTGCGCAATGATTTCACATTTAGCTTTTGAAATGCTCAAGAAGTCTTAAGAGAAGCAGACAGAAAATCATCCCTTTAAATCACACACACACAAAAAAATTATTTGCGCAATGATTTCACATTTAGAAGGTGCTCAAGAGCTTCTGAAATGCTCGAGAAGCAGATAGCAAATCATCCTACTGTTAAATTACAGTAGAAACTCACAGAATGGGAAAAAGGTCTATAAAAACAGACAGTGTATTCAGCTATGTGAAAACCTTTGTTACGGAAATTCACAGTCTTAAAATTGTACAATTTGTGACTGTAAAAGCTCAAGATATAACAAAGTCTTATCTTCCAGCATGAACTCTCACAGGCGGACAGCTTAGCTTTCTGTGTATCAGTACTGAGCAGGATAAAACCCCAGCTGTCCCGTAAAATTGGTGCTGACTGTATGATGTATTCTGCAGGCTTGCTCCCGCATGAAACCATTGCATAAAATACAGCAGAGATCATCTAGAGAAATAAGGCATAACCACCATATTTTATAGTACTGTAAAAGAATTCTAAATGAAAATTTAGTGGAAGTTACACTATACTATTATAAAAGTGAGTTTCAGTCATATGTACATATATAAACCTTTTCGAAATCTGTTTTTTTTTTTTTTTTAAGTAAATCATTGTGGTCACATAGAGAAAATACGCTTGAAGGCATCATAATGCACGCTCAGTAACTCTCTTCCAGTCCAGGATCTGTCCTAACAGGAAAGTGTCAAATTTGGATCTAGACATATTGTCTGGGAAAACACTGTGAAGGTCTTTTTTTTTGAGGCTGCCTGCAGTGTGATCTCCTGGCCTCATCCAGAGCAACTAAATTCAGTGGATAATTTAAGTAAAACCTTAATTCTGTAGATACATGCATCTGCTAAAAGCCTTGTTTTAGGCTACTAAGGAATACAGTTAGGATTTTGAGAAATCTAATAATTTTTCAAAGGAAAACAAGGATGCAGCACAAAGTAGTGAAGTATATTCTATTTCTAAAGGAGATCTCAGGATTTTTAAGGCTCACATTCTGTACCACTAGAGTCAGCGGGAGCTTTGAAGCTGCTTCCGAAGGGAGCAGGATAAGGCCACTAGGATGCTTAACTGAATTTTCTGCCAGACCTCTGACACATCCTGCAGCGAACCAGGCGTGCTTTACAACCTCACTGCCCCAGTTTCTTGCCACGTCTCTTGCTGAAGGCCTTTGTCCCCACAACAGAGGTGACAGAAGAGAACCAGCTTCATGATCCGATGAGGCAGAAGCTGCCAGTGAAGGTACCTTAGTGCAGCCGGAGATCAGTGATGTCTGGCGGAGGGACAGGGAGATGGCTGGAGGCAGTAACAGCTGACACTGCAACAGCAAGACACATCAAAAGATAGTGGGCAGAACCATACAGCTTCTTTCTACTGTTCTGGGATTTTAGACACTTTAAAGCAAGTGTATGCTATATTCATAAGCCATTTACACTTTTTTCACCATCTAAGAGTGTAATTAAAAGGCCTGAGCATAAATGAGTGCAAGGAATTATGCTGTTACTGCTGTTGCAATAAACACACATCTTTGTTTTTTAGAAAGTGGCATTTTGGTCTAGATTGATACGATGCTCACTCAGAACAACTCCCTCAACGCTGCCACTATCCCCACCCCGTGAAACCACTGCAGATCAATGAATCACCCCTTTGATGTAGGGATCACCTGCCACTTGAGTAACATGTAAACACTTCAGGATGTTTCAGGCTTTCATGCACATAACCCTTTTTTACCATGCTCACATATGCAGATGGGATGCTCTGAATATAATTCACTCCAGACCAAAACAGTTCATAAGGCCTCAAAACATGTTTCAAAAAATATCATAGAAGTTATAGTTTCAAATAAAAAGATAGACATAACAACAAAGATCATTACCTCTCTTCTTTCTCTAGCCAGGTTTAATTTTCCCTTTTCCATCTATGAATAAGACATAATGGGCTTTGTTTTTATAACATCTAGACATCTGCACAGAAGTACCAAATACAAGCTTTGCATATTGTTATCATGAGCTATATATATTTAATTAGGCTTTACTTTCCCCAAGTACCTTGGCATTTGTACTCTGAAGCACAGATTCCAGTGCAGTGCATTATACATGCCACGGCTGTATTTATACAGTAGAAGCAGTCTCTGTAACATGTCTGTTTCTCATATCTTAAACCAATAAAATGTTACACTGAGCTTATCAAAACCATTCTGCATAGATCTAAGACTGTTGCGACTGAAATTAGCAATAAAACTTTCCTGGATGCCCTCCGGAACCGAGCTAAGGCAAGGCTGCATACTCCTAATAAATTCCATTTTGGTAAAAGTTTTATTTAGAAAATGTGGTCAACGCAAAGCTTTTAAAGAAGATTAATGTGGACTTATAAAAAATGTCTGATTTTATTATTAGTAGTAACTCATACAGTTTGTCCTGAAGTTTTCCTTTTCAGCTTCAGTTTGAACCATATGTTCAGGAAGTTCAAGTGAAAAGTGATCCTGGAGCAATATTATTTTTTTCTAATTAACTATGACCACAGAGGTATTTTAGAGAAACCTATGGACTCCCTCAGAAAGCTGTGTAGTGAGCTAGATTAAAACAGGATTTTGTCTATTTTATGAAAAATGCATTGAAGTACCAATAGGTCAACTTCAGAGGAATCCAGCCTTCCTGTTCTAGTGAACAAATGATTCTGCATGTAGCAAATTTTAATTTCTTCTGGCTGCTTTTCTAAAGCCCTTGAAGAACTAAGGGACCATTATAATTCCCCTCTCTACAGCAGGACCAGGCATAGGCACAATACATCACGCTGATCATGGTACAGGATCTGGACCTAGATAGGCAGAGCAGTTCTGAAGTCAGGCATGATGTTTGTCAAATGCAAAAGTTCAAGCAGAACGTTGTTGTTGGCTGCCAGGCTGAGTTTATATATCCCACATGGGGATTTCAATATAAACACAATCATGTGCCCAACCAACTGTTCTTTGTATGAACCAGTAGTGGCATAAAGAAAAACCTTGCACTCCACTGCAAACAAAAGGAGCCCTGCTCTAACAGTGAGGGCAAGGCTTATAGAAACATCTCGAGGTCAAACTTAACATCCCTCTTTTAGAGAACCTAATTGAAAAAACATCATTACCATTTAGATACTTGATTCAAAAACACTGTTTTGCTAATATCCACTTCGCAGTGACGACGGGCAAAGAATGGCTGGGTGCAGAAAACCCTGCACCGAGGGCTCCTGAAGACTTCTTGCTTACCAGAACCCACTTGCAGGCCCTGGTTATTTACAGAACAAAGAGCAGAGTTCATTTCCATAGGACAACTCCATCGAAATGGCAGTGCACTGTTCTCCTTCTGTGTTCACTGGGATCCTTGTCAAATTTGATCAGTTTACATGTTAAGACATTTTTTTCCCTTGACCTGTCACAGCGCACAGCGAGCCCGGGAGCTGCTTCTGATGAGATGCTGCTTATGCTCTGCTGTATTTGCTGCTAATGCCAGCACTGACATTCGTGTACGTCAGCCACTGCTGTCATTAATACGGGCAGTCTAATCTTAGTGCTGCGGACACAAAAACTGGAAGGGTACCTGTATTCCAGAGTGCTTCAACCACAATCAAGAGAGCTTCAAGGATAAGAGACACTATCAGAAGGAATAAAAATATCCAAGTCTCCCTGAGGGTGTCTACGTATCTCTGTATATATTGGTGTAGAAGATCTAAGACACTGTTTTTATACAGTCACTTTGCAGAGAAAAAAACACATAAAAATGATAGCAAAGAATTAAACTAATTTTAGGTTCAGTTGTAGAAAGAGGGTTTATTAGTTCTGATAATTACCTTATATAAATTAAATACTTTTAAATGTGCTCCATATATCTTAATTTCGTCATTGAATTTTTTTGTAGGTCCCTGTCTAATCACATACTGGAAACACAGTCTCTGTTTAGGAGCTATAACCTGCCCTCTCTGCAGACAAAAGGTGAGAGTTTTCTCCCTTGTAGTCATCTGTGTTATGATAACTACAAGCTTGAACACTTATGGATTAACTTTATCTATCATCTGATTTTCCATAGCATTTGATAACCCACTTAGACTTGAATGACACTGAAGCCATTCACATTTATCACTTGACACATGTCATATTAGGCAACTCTGTGAAATATTAAACAGGCCTCCAGCAACTTACTTTTGTATAGTTCATTGACTCTCCACCATAATACACCATAAAAAACAATACAGAGCTGCTTAATCTCATCTGACCCATGCCAGAGGCTGCCTGATGTATTGGAAGATTGCATGCAGGTTGTAAAAAGAAATCTGCATTAATAAATATTCTTGCTATAATGGAACTACTGACACGGGACAAAAATCAACCCAACAGAGAGAATATGGACAGAATGTGCTACAGAACAATATCCTTAATATATTAAAATACACAGTGTTAATGTTTATCTTCTCTTATGAAGGTGATTCTTCTGGATAACATCTCCAGTGGAAAACAAGACAATCCAACTAAACAAATTGTACATGACATTAGAAATTACAACAAGCGCTTCTCAGGGCAACCTCGACCTGTAAGTGTTTATAATTCCACATTTATCTCGTTGAACTGCATAACACATAGTGGATTAAAAGAGATGCAGCAATGAAAAAGGAATTTGTATAAGCATGTGAATTATCTCTTTATGCCACCACTTGTTTGTGGTGTCACAGGGAAGGCTTACCAATCTCTACTGGATTTTGTATTTTCCCATAAAAATGCTTCCTAGCTTGAAGGAGTCGTTCTGCAGCCATCCTGGCAGGGAAGAGAAAGTAGAGTGAGATAAAACATAGGTGGCAAAGCAGAATTAGAGATGTGAGCCTGAAACTTTCAAACCAGAGTTCAGATTTGAACTCTAGGATTTGAATCTGCCTCTAAAATGTTTGTGCCAATTCACTGCCAAATGTGAGCAGTCCATGCTGGCTCCATACTTTATTACAGCTGGAATCCCATCTTGTACAGAGACATGACAGGCAGTGCAAAGGATGTACAAGATGAGGGCGGAGGGTGCAAGTGAGACCTGTTCTTGACGGCATGCAGAATATCACCAAAGCAAACAGTCCTTTCCTGTCACATCCTAGTAGGGAGCCTGAAAAGGACCACAAAGCTTGCTTTAATCCATGGCACTGTGAAGGACAATGTCATTTTTTAACCCAACAAACTAGCATTAAGGAAGAGGAATAATCACTCAGTCCTATGGTTCCTGTCCACTCTAAGCCAAGACTTAAGACCTCATTTTTAAGCATTCATAACCTGCACTTGATGCCAGATTTTAGGGAGGCTTTTGCTCATTTAAGTTTCAGTGTATGCAACAACATGCACAATACTTTCTTTTCCAAGTGCTAAGGGAATGGGGATTCCTTGTAGAAGTGTGTTTCTGTATCCTACAAAATAATTAAACTGTGTATGTGGACTTGGAGAATACAGAAAGTTTTTAAATTCGAGGTTTCTGTATCCTACAAAATAATTAAACAGAAAGTTTTTACATTCAACAGTTTTGAATCTAAAAGTGCTTAGGGAATTGTTCGAGATTAATTAGAATGTAACGTACCATAACTCATCTGTATATTTAGTTTGCAGATTACTTTTACGACATGCCATTATTCCTGACTCTTGTGTTACGAGGAATCTTTACCTGGGATGGTCTCGTATGGATTTTTTTCCTTAGAGTTGCTGTATGCGCTTTAGGGGCAATCATTTGCTTACCTTCTCCATTCGACACGATGCCTGGACTTCTCTGCAGAATACTTGGAGCAGCTGATGACATGGTGGTAGTTTTCCTTCTTCTAATATGCACAATAAACATTGGCCAGCAAATTCTATCAGACAGGGTAGATATGGCAAGGTCTGCATCTCAAAGCATGCTGTTTGAATCCTGACTCACATCCTGATTCCTCAGACTTCATCAAATGGTGAGAGGCTTGGCCTTGATTTGAGGCAGCACGTGACGGATTTGTCATTCTGCTGCGGATAAGGGCTGAAGCAGGACTCGAGATGCTGGGCATGACCAGGTGATCCAGTGTGCATATTCTTACAAGGCTGGTTTTATATGTAACTGTATATTTGCTCGTTCATGCTGGACTTCTCTACTCCTATCCATTTTCATTTGAGAAGTTAGCAAAATGTAGAATTTGCTAAGTCTTGTATGATGCAGGGAATGTTAGATAATATCTCTGCAGAATCTTGTACTGGCATTTTGTGCAATCATAGCTAATTACATACCCATTGCAAAACAGATTTCTACAGCTCTGTATCAAGTACAGGCCATATTCCAAAATAGACAGCATGAAACTCTCAGAAACACTGTCTCAAACCAAAAATGCAATTATAAACATTACAGGGGGAGAACAGCGTTATGGAGATCATACAAGCAGTGTGAACAGATCCCTGTGTACCATTTTCATAGAGGACTCTGCAAGGTACACAGCTTCCTTGAATTCTGTGCATCTAAGTTTTAACAAGGTCAGCACGACCACTTGTTTCCTCTGTAGACTTTGCACGCTCCTTGTGACTTCCTTGTTATGGCGTGGCACCAGTTCAGCCAGACAGACCAAAGTCAAATTTGTGGTGATGAAGTTTATGGAAAGTTTGCTAAAGTTGGTGTGTGTGTGTTGATCTGCAAAGAGATTAAAAGACTGGCAGTACCAGTCAATGTTATGTATCTGTCCCTGCACAATCTGTACATTTGCTAGGCGCTTGGAGTCAGTGGACTTCATTTTTATATATTATTTGTATGTAGATATGTGTATAACACAGATAGACTAAAATACATGAGTATTTATTGTTCTCAAAACACTGGTCTCCAACTGTTCTTTCTTTCTGTGTGTTTTCAATTGATGTTTTTATTGTACTTTTGAATCGTATGCTATGATGTACCATGATGTCGCAGGAGTTTTCTCTTTTTGTTATGATGTTTCTTCATTTTATTCCCATCAGCTGTCATTGTCTTTAATTATGTCCCTGAACTTGTAAAGCTGTTTCTCTTAACAATGGGTACTTTGGAAATGGCAACAACTGCTTTTCCATGAACTATGGGGCAGGAAGTGCATTGTTTCTTTAAAAAACTTACCAGATGTTTTTGACTGCTAGCATAAAAATAAAAAGAAACTATTATTTTCCAAGTTCTTTAAGTATAGTTTTGTTATTGTGTAACTTCTGTTTGTATTTAACTGAATTACAGCCTATGCCATTGCTAAAGACTGGAATTTCTATCAAGTTAAGTGTATAAAGATGGAGTCCATTTATACGAACACTAACTCCATGTACATGGACTGTAGGTTGTTTCTTTTGCATAATAAGGGCTCACTAGGAGGATGGAGAATTGTAGGTTAAGAAATTAGGGGCTCTCATTAATGACCTATGGCAACGTTACAGCTGTTTTAGGTGTGCTTTTTTGCTCTGTCTCTTGGCTCTTCATCTCTTCCCTCAGAGCCCTTGTTTTTGCTTTTTAAACAGAATATTATCCTTCATTAATAAGTCATAGACAAATGGCATAGAGAATTTGTGAGAAGATCTCACTAAAGGCATGGGCAGGATTCAGATCTTGCAAGATCAAAACAATTTGGGTTCTCTGAGGTGAAACATTTTTCCTGCAGACAACCAGAGCATCCAACTTCTCTACTCCCATGGGCCAGTCATGCCCTGATCTGGAGGGCGACCCTGACAGCATCTGCAGCAGCTCTCAAAATCATCTGAGAACAAATAAAAACCTCTGGTTGAGTCTTTTTGCCCAGCAAGCTGCCCAGGGGACACCTCTGCTGTGGATCACAGGAAGGTTTCTGAGCACTGACAAATGCTGGTCTAAGGAAGGAAAATCTGCCTTCTGTCCCTTGCGTTTTCCGTTGCTGCTCTGTTCAGTACAATGGGAATGGATGTGGAGAGCTGGGCTCCCCCGGCGGCACTGGGCAGGATGGAAGGAATGCACCTGCACCGGGAACGTAGTTTCAGTGTCTGCTCAGTGTCATCTCTCAGTGTTGATGGTGGCCTGTTTCACATCTGCACTGTGATTAACGTGTGTGCAGAGCTAGTTACTTGCAAAAGCCAAAACGGCTCAATGTTTTGACATTAGAATGACTGCTCTGCAAGAATGGAGACAGAAGAAATGAGGCAGGAAGCAGCAAAAAAAATAAAGAAAAACGTTTCTCAGCTGCAAAAGCGATTCCAAAGTATCACCCACCAAAAAATACTATAATCAGTGTTAAAATAATAACGGAAATCACATCTCGGTCTTAACCATAGCACTGCTAGAATTTAAAGGCCCATTTACAGGGCAACTGATGGTTATCTGTGAAAAGCACGGGGACGGTGAACGCGTCCTAGGGGCTGCAGCCACCGGCCACGTTACCTCTTCTGAGGCTCCTGCTTGTGGCCACGCTCAGAACACGGACATGGGGACACCAGCAGCTGCCGTTGCTTCGCTTTCTTTGCCTGGGGTAAATAAATGATTCTTCTTTTTCCTTTCTGTACAGGGATCACAGAGATAAAATGCCCAGCGCCTCACATTGAAATGAGAGCATTTTATTTTTTAATCAAAAACAAACCCGTACATTTTTAATGATAAAAGTATATATTCACAGCGAGCAACACAGTGAGAAGAAATTACCTCTGTCTAAAGCGTCTGGAAATCTGTCACCCATAGCATTCCCAGACTACACGATCCGGGTTAGGGGCTTTGCATGATAGAGCGATACTCCCGCTGATGTTCCACAAGTTTCAAAAACACCTGGTACTTCTTGTCATAAAACCTGCGCAAAGGAGAGGTTTCAGGCCGTAACCATGCTTGGGGCAGCTCTGCTGCACAGCTTGGCCTCCGGAGCAGGGGCACCCGCGTGTGCCCCACGCGAGGGACCACGCGGGAGGGTTTGGGCGCTCCGATCGCGATCCCGCTGCTGCGCCGCGCCCTGCCGAGGGACACGGGGAGAGACGAATGGGCTTGGCTGCCCTCACGGCCCTTAAAACTGGGAATCAACATCCCCGCGTTTGGGCAGGGCTGGAAAACGCCAGGCCATGACTTCCTTTTGGGTAAATACTCACAGGTGAACGCGGCAGACTCAGGCTCACCTTTTGTCCCCGTGGTTTGGCTGCACAACTCTCCCGATTTTTCCCATTTTCACCATGGCCTCCTAGTAAAAAACAAACACAAACGGGAGACGTCTGTTTTGGTTTAAAATGCTTTTTGACAAGAACAGCATGTTGCAAAACCAATCGGAACATTACTGATGTATTTTGTTTCGGCTGAGCGGGCCAGATGGCACGAAACATGCTCAGCACCGCTACAGTCATGAGAACCAGGCAACCCAAATCTGTGCCTCCCTCTTCCTGGGAGGCTGAGGCAGAACAGACTTATCTTCTATTATTTACACTAACCACAGGAAATGTTAAACGCTGCATCCCCAGAGGGGCAATTTCTCAAATAAAACGATATTTTACATGAGATCCCTTAATTGTTTTCCTAAAGTATCAATTCCCTACAGCAAGGAGAGGGCTCGACTTGCGAAGTTCTGCTCTGCAGCTCATTGAGCGCCTCATGTCCCAGTACAAAGGTGTAAGAAACAGAGCTTGATCCTATTCAATTTTTGGCCAAAACAAAGCCAGACCAAGGGATCTTGCAGAATCCCCCTGTACAAGGATTCTCCAGGACAGTGTCACTTGTGAAAGGGAGAAGGCCAAGGAGTTTGATTCTCTTCCTGATCTCTGCGAGACTGGGATTTTCCAGGGATTCTCCTGAGCAATGCCACTAAAATGAAACACTAATCACCAATGTTAGCAGAGGATCAAACTTAAGCTTTTAGGCAAGGGTGAAGGCAGCAGGCTCAGACTGCTTTAAGCTGAAGTTAGTTCACAAGAAGCATTTGAGCAACAGCTTTTAGATGTAACTGTTAAATATTTTATAACAAGAGTTCAAGTATCTCTGACTCACTAAACCTGTATCAGCCTTTATACTTCCTAAACAGGTTCTTAAAACTGTTTTAATACTAGCACCTAAAGCATAACATGATGAGAACATCAGGATGACCCCGAAAGAACAAGCTGCTCCTGCTGGAAGCCATCTAGTCAAATATTATGGCTACATTTTTTAAAGGGTTGGATGATTTTATAGTCTGTAATATCTGCTGTACTAAAAACTCTGTTACACTACTCCAGCATTTTTATAGCTGAGAATCTCACAGAGCACAACGTCCATGAGGAACACAAGCACAATTTCACCACCCTTGAACAGGCTGCCCATTATTAGTGTGGAACATGTATTTTTTACGTTTTTGCTACTCCAGAGAGTAAATCCTAGATGAAATCCTGGCTCTACCAAAGTAAAAAATACTGACAGTGATGCCAGCGCAGCGAGAATTTTATTCTTATTAATGCTTCTGATAAAGCAACAGAGGAGCGTTTCTGCGTATTCATATGTCCAATACGCTTTTAGACATGCAAAATTTGATTGCACTCTTGATTTACTAAGAAATACACTTGAAATAACGCTTGTAGTGAGATAGTGTGTTCCCTTCTCGGGGACATGTGAGCCGGCTGGCAGAGAAATCCTGTGCACCAGCCAGACTGAAATACTGACGTGGAAAGGTCGATGTCTTTCCTGGGAAAACAAAATGACCCTTTATTCCCTGCTCTCTAACAGGTGATGCTAACTCCAGCATTGTTTTTGCCTACAACACTTTAGCTTTCACAACCCCCTTCTATTGCTATCTGGATTTAGAGGCTGCCCACAAGATCAATTGACGTGGAAGGAGGGGAAAAAAGTTCAGCTCGGGCTCCCACGTGTGTGTCCTCGGACACCCCGGCCATCGTCACATGAGCAAGGCCCAACTAGAGAGGTCCTCAAAGAAAGGTTTGTTCTTAAAAATCTCATCAAAAGCAGCAAGCAAGGTCTGGCTGCTTCTGTCGTGCTCCTGCTTCCACTTCTAGCACATAGTCTTAAGCACAGATAAGGAGGAAGGTGCCAAAACTGTCTTTTCAGTTTAGCAGGTAAATACGTTTGTATTTTTAACTGTATGTAGGTCTTTGAGAATCCCCAGCATTAAGCTCTCACATCATGGTAGTATGGTGTAACATATTGAAAAGGCAGCAATTTTCAACAACTCATTCACACTAGGTTGCTCAAAATATCCTAAGTGAATTCCTCCCTTAATTTGCCTTTTTCTCTTTAAGTCAGCTTGGCCATTGTTAGTGTGAACAAATACTCTGCTCCCAGAGGAGAGACTTTTCAACAATTTTCTGGGGACTAAAAGGGACAAAACACTGAAAATATGAATTTATAATGAAATAAGGAACAAAGGGACATTAGAATTGCGTTACTGAATCAGATCAACCTTCTGCACTATTCTGTCTGCAACAGAGCCTTAAATATAGCCAAGTGATAATACTGCTGTTCAGAAATAGCTTGTTTGAGGGTTGACATCCATAATTCCAGTCACCAAGAACTTCACAATCTTAATTTGAATGACGCTCTATCTTCTTTGTTTGCCAGTCTAGACAGCACAATGAATACAGTGATTTAAACACAATGAATTCTCTCTTAAAACAAAATATTTTGTGAAATTGCTTTTTAATCATTTCTTTTCTCTCTTTCTATAAAGGCTGCGCTATAAATAAACCCTGAAAGTTCGCATTTGATCATCATTTCTAAAGGCTGGGCAAGAGGCAAGTTGAAGGGTTTACACAGAAAAAAAGAGAGGCACTGTGGAGCGGGCACAAAAAGAAGCATTCATGATTCCTAACCTTTTGTCAGAGTGTCAAAGCTGAGACAGATACAAGGCAGTAAACACTCTGCTCACCATGGGGAGCATCGGCAGATCCCATCACCCTTCCCAGGACAGCAGGCATGAGCCCAAGGAACCAAATTCTCCAAGACCCACCAGCATTTCCAGACAAGGTGGGACTTCACTGGTGAGAGGGCAACTCAGAGGGGCAAGCTCACTTTTCATCCTGAGCAATTCACTTGTCACGAGTGGCTGAACTCGGCTCTTTAGCAGGATCTGGGGCCGGGGATGATTCAAGACACCAGTGTGGCCTCAACGGACACATCTTGCAATAATGCTGTGGCCACCACAGCTCATCCCTGCAGTGCCAGGTCTTTCCAGGGCTTCCACAGCTGTAGATGGACCTTTGGCCATATATAATGGAAATAAAAAAAAGTTTTGAACACTATGTGACAGGTGCAGTGCAGCAAGGTGCTCTGGCACATCGGGATAGGCATGGCAGGCTGACTTCAGGAGCCCACAGGAGGTGCCTCCAAGGGCTGTCTTCAAATGGAGCACCCAGAACCTCATCCTGCCCATCTCGTAGGAATAGCCAGTCTCAAGGACTTAGATGGCTCAATATTCCCAAAAATTAATGGCATATAAGATCTTAGAAACATACATCAGATGAGAAATCAGATTTATGTGCATAGGCTGCAGGATAAACAGAAGCAGGCAGAAAAATCCCCCTGAAATTAATAAGTTAGGAATGTCAGTCCCCTTCAGGATTTGGGCTTTTGCCATTATGATATTTAGGTACTTTAAAAAATTGTATCCAAAGTTAAATGTGAGGCATCTGGGCACCAGAGCAATTTCCCAGATGGGTTCTCCCCACTTACTCATTTCAGTAATCCCAAGAAATGTCTGGAGCTGTAACCAGTATGGTTATTAACAGTAAAAACAAACATCATCTAAAGTGTTACCGTACAGTTTCAGTGGCTGAAAACATTTGGCCTGCACATATAGAAGTATATTAAAAGCTACCCAATGGTATGGATACACCACGATCTAATTACAACAGCAATGTGCCAACTACATGTAGGAATGATCCTCAGACAACCGGAAAGCCAGGAGGTGTTCTCAAGTGCAAATTCAGTGTGTTTGCTACACGTGCTGCTCCTTTACAGCTTGTCCGGTGACAGCCATATGGGTCTGTTGCACCAAGAATGAATGTCCTGAGAGTGATGGGAAGTGATGAAAAATAACTGCTGTAAAACAGTTGTGGATCATAAATCATTATATAACTCATAAATCATTATATAACTGATTCAGGAACCTCAGAACAAGCTGAAACAAGATGCATGTCTTGCTCATCTTCTTCCCGAACCAAATTTGCTAGTTCACCTCAACTCTGTACTCATGAAAAAGAATGAAATTATGTTCATTTTTATCATATTATTATAACCCGAATGATCAAAAGCTGCCATTTCTAAACCCAAATGTAGTGAGAAAGCTCTACTACCAAACATGCTGCTTCACAGATTTTTGAAAACGACACGAATGCGTGGAAGTTCAGTCTCAAATTTCTAAATTGGAGTTTTGAAATAAGACTTTCCCGCTTGCCCCCTTGTGACCCTCATGCAGCCTCCCACTTCTGTCAGTCTCGCCCTTTGGTGTTGCAGCACACCTGTAGCATCCCCAGCATCGTGGGAAAATTACTTCCACATTGTCCCACTTAGAAAATACTCAAACCTGAACATCCTCTCCCCTCACCTTTGTTCTGATTTGTAGACTTTGGCAACTACCTCCATTTTAACAGGAAGACTTTCTTTCCACTTCTAAGATCTTATATCAATCACAGAAAATGTAAGTATACATTTATATTTTATAGTACTTTTTACTATTTGTCAATGTCTCTCTTCCATCTCCCTTTCATATCCATAAGCTTAGGCTAACAGATGCTAACATCATTTTTTAGGAGACCAGTCACAGAAGCACTTGGATTTGGAAGGGAATAAATTAATTTCTGAAACGTTGATGTCCAAGAAATACTTCAAATTTGTTCTGAGAATTCTAAAGAAGACTCTTGGTTTCTTACAGGCTTTTATATAGGGATTGCTTACTCAATAGCGTGGAGATGCATCATTTGTCTTATCTATGCCCACAGGAATAGGTGAAAGTATACAACACAGCCCTAGCAGAACATTACCTTTTAGTGGAATATGATTGCATGAAGAAAGCATGTGATGGACCATATACAGTATTTTTCTAGTCCTTTTTTTCACCCCCTTAAATTTGTTTGAGTTATAGGGGCAGCTCTTGGCAGCATGCACAAAGCCCCAAATCTGTAACTGAATTCTCTGTGGTATTCCAAAAGGATCGAGCCAAGTTTTAAAACACATTATGTATAAATATTAAAGCTAAGCAAAAATTTC